AAATGTTTAAAAATAATTTATTAAATTGGACTAACTTTGAATGTGGAGACCAGGCTACTTCTCCAAAGCTTCTGTGTGAGGTTCTGTTATGCTAAGTATAGAGAGATTTCACTGCTGCTGTGTTTGTTCAGCAAAGAACATCCTGGCAAATGAAAAACGCAAGCACACAATGAAAGATTCGTGAAAACAAGACTGGAAGCAGCCAGCTCAGTTTCATACTGCAAATTTTTGGCAGACATTCAACTCCTTCTGCTGTTTTTCTCGCAAGCACATCTATCTGTGTGATGTCACCAGATTCAGCGAGGGAGGGAGCCAGAACAAATTGGACTGACAGTGTCTTACAGCCTGCCAGCCTCTCAGCACATGTTGTTACTATACAAAGGATGTCTAGAAACCAAATGTGCTCCACTGATTCACAGACCGTACCCCCTCCTAAAGGCAACTACAGAGAAGTGCCTGTGGAAAAGCGGGGGTGGGCAGAATTTTGAAACCTCAGTTTTGGACAATCCATCTGCTTTGTGGTCTTCTTAACTGAGGAAAAGTGAGGTAGGAAACTCCTCAAAACCCACAGCCAACTCTGCACCTGGTCACAGCCACCAACTGTCACAGTAGTCATTGTCAGTAATCCAAATGCACTTTACTTCCTGCAGACATTTTAATACTATCTGAGGCTCACTAGATACCAGGACTGTCTTTGCCCCATCATCACACACCTGCTTGTACGAGTCATGGTGGTTGGATGTTATAGGATAAGGTTTCTTTCCTTATTAACCAAACTTCAGAGATGTGTCATTCCATATCTGTCAACAATCTTCAGGTCAGAAAGGACTAATAGGGATCCAGCCAACATATTGGACTAGTCTCTTCCTTTTTAGACAGCTCTTCTATACTCAAATTCTAGTGAAACTGTGTCCCAGAATGCCACTCAAAACACTTCCTCCACAGCAGTACTCCATTGACACAGGTACTCATCACATCTCATGTCTTCCCACGCACAAACTTTGCCTTGAAGTCACCATTACTCCAAATATTGCCAGAGCCCATCTTGGTTATCGTTACACACCATTTCACCCTAAATGCACCATCCCACAGCGTCCATTCATAGCTGTCCATGACAGTAACATTTCTGACATGCTTACGCTTGCTCTATTACTAAGAGCTGCTTCATCTATTCACTAATCAAGTGAATCAATTTCAAAGTAATTTTTTAGCACTTGAGTTTCCAGAGTTACAGAGTACAGATGGAGGCCATCTGTTATCAACCACGAGTTTTTTTAGACAGAACTACAGCCTTCTCTTCCACAGAACCAGCTGGAAGAGAGTGAATCCTAATCCTCCTCCAGCTGGGAGCCAAAGCTTGAAGAGCACCCTTGGAGAGCAAGGGTGAGCTCTCAAAATGTAATTACAATGATCATTTATGTGCTCCACCCAAAACAAACCAACCCACAAAAAACTTCCTTACCAGTGATGGGACAGTCCTTTCCTTTAAGACATGGAATTAACCTTTGTTAACCTAAAACAAGCACAATATAGGGATAGCTACTGTATGCTTAAAGGCCTTCAAAACAACTACGATGCCCTCAAAGCATATGAACTTCTTAAAAAGATACAAGAAGTTTGGCTTCATGTGATAAACACGAGTTCCCACCGGGATCTAGAACTATTATCTGCAAGAGAGGCCTAAAGGATGCTGCACATATAACAACCCACAGTTAAAGAGACTGATAAGTACCAACAGATATAAATAGCAATACAAAACTAGGAAACAGACATGCCATAAGGAACACATGTAAGACAGCAGCACAGGGAATCTGCTTTAAATATTCCTCCTCAGCTACAAAAGTTTCCCTCTTTTTTTTCAGGAAGAATTTTGTATACTCTCAGCTGTACTACAGGACAATGTTAATACATTTACTTAAAGGTTGCTACAGCCATATCCAGTTTTAAGCGACATAAAAATGACTGTTTCAAGGAGAGTGCAAATGGAGATCCATGAAAACCATCTGTATTTTCCTTTTAATTGTGCAAGAAACAGTCCTACTACTGTCCTGAGATCAAAGTTCAAATGTTTTGGAAATATCCAACATGTATATAAATTATTTTAACTTCTCCTTCAGTTAGCTGATGTGGTTTTTTTTTTTTAATAGTAACAATTTTACAAAAATTCTTATAGCCTTTTAACCTGAGTTCTGTAACAACTGTCAACAAAACAAAAGCAGAGCAAGCTGTCTTTATCTAGAGCTTCCAGCTTTAAGACCAGCATCTTACTAGAGCTTAGATCCTCACAACATACCAGGGAAGAACTCTGCTCTTAAACAGTGACAAGTATTACTGTATTGTAGTAGTCTTGTAGCATTCTTTCATTGTAGTAATACTAACTAACTATTGTTTATTTTATTATTTAAAAAATTTAAGCCTCAACTTTCATTGACCTCTTGCAAGGTACTCAGTTTCATAACATCCAGGCAAATATCCAGAATTTAATATTCACTTCCATCTAAACAAAGTGACACTACTATCAAACAGACAGGTAAGCACTTGCAGCTGAGTAGAAGCTACATTTGGACAAATGAAAGGAAGAAATATTACATATTTAAGATTCATAAATTTGGATCATATGATATATGGAGAGTTCTTAAATGGATGTTGAAGACCAAACAGGGCAAGGATAAAAGATTAACAATAGTGAACAAGAGACAGGTCACTAGGACTTCTCAGGTTTGGGAGGCTGACCTTTTGTCATGTTTCTGCCAAGGCTCTAAGAATCAAGAGAAACACTGCCACAATACTCCCAAGGAATCTGTACTGAATAATTCCATTGAAGAAAAAAGGGAAAAACAAACCCAACCAAAAAAAAAAAAAATCCCCCAAATTCCTCACCACTCTTAAGCACCCAAGAAATCAAGAAAATTACTACAGCATAGTAAGCCTTTTGTACCTGCATAACTGGTTGAGATTAAACACAAAATAGTAAAGTGAAGGAAGATTATCATATAGTGTCTGCACTGGGAAAAAAAAAGACCCAACCAAACAAACAGCAATTAAAAAAACCCAACCAACCCCCCCCAAAACACCAAACCCCAAACTGACCTAAAAATCCTGTAGAATAGGAGCGGATCTTTTGGCTTCCACTGACTTGCCAGTCAATTAATGCTAGCAGAACCTACATAGATGTTTTAATACCGTATCTTCAAAGTGACTTAAGAAACTAGTATGAAACTTGGCACGGAGACAGTACATGAAGAGCAGAAATCTAGGATGTTAGTTTAAAACACACACACACAAATCAGAATAATTTATGGAAGAAATCCCTTGCAAAATTTCTACAATGGCTACTGTGCATTCTAATGTTACTAACAATCCTTTTAGCGTTCAAGCTGCTCAGACCTGAGCAGGCAGAGAGGAATTAGCGAGCATATCTAACAGCCCAAAACACACATAGGTGTCTATGCACGCACGTGTTTATATTTATGTAGACATATACACACAAGATCTTCATATGCCTATGTTTCCAGGGACTATAAACAAACTCCAGACCAAATTCAGTATTTATAGTAGCCCATATTATCATTCACCACTCTGATATATCCCATTTTAAGAAAACCCCAGGGAACACTTCATTTGAAAGACTATCAAGCTGGTCCTGAGTTTTGGCATGTTACAAGACTGAACAGGCTGCAAAACACACTGTGTTAATAATAATATGCACAGCTAATACTTTCCACCGTTACTACGACGCTCAATCCAGCTGCCTCACGTGCCAGGCTTGTTTACATCCAGTTTTCACACTATTTTACAGTTATACTGATTTCTTTACAGACATAGTTGAAGAAGTACATAGGCAACATTTGTAAACAGAACATTTGAAAAAAGGATAGAGGAAGCTGCTGGAATTTTCAGCATAGTAATACCTACTTCCTACGTTCCACCAGCCCACAACACAATGCTCTGACTAGTTAAGTAACACTTCCACAGTAGAGCTCCCACAGTTAAATAAGAAAAATTAGAAACTTTACTGGTGATAAAGCAGCTGTACAATTTTTTTTTTTTTTTTTTTTAGGAAGAAGACTCCTATAGTAGTTGTAAGTCTTCAAACCCTAATATATCATAAAGCAGCCCTCTCACTGGAGAGTGAAGCTGACTTGAAAAAACACGAGCAGCACACACTCGAAGAACTCATCCCTGAAGAGGATATTTACAACAACAAAATTTCCAACACTGCTGAAAAATGTATCTATTATGGATACAAAAAAATATTTTCACATTGTAGAAGTCCTGGAGACTAGTAGTGCAAAGGTACGAATTACTGTAACAAAGACAGACTTCCTTTTTACTCTGCTTCCACAGTAGCATAACAACAGGAAAGACAGTGACTTGGTATGAATTTCACTCCAACAACTTTATCCTGAGGTTGGAGTAGAGGGTCAAAGACCTTAGGCATGCAGAAAAAAAAGATAAAAATACTTTGGTTTGTGAATTATATTTAAGAGAGGTGGGTGGGAGGCACACAAAAGTTCATGACTGTTTATTCCAGCATTTCCATGCTCTCTACAGCCTCTGATTTCACTCTTCTTTTCAAACGCTATATCCTATATACCTTTTCTTCCTATTTCACAACAAAGCTGTTCTGGGACAGAAAGTAATATTTTCATTGTGAACAAAGAAAGCCTCTATGACAGCACTAGGTGGCAACTGCTAATCAGTGCTTCACTATGTTATCTGTATTCAATAGGAACCCAAACTGGTAGTCAAATAAAAATGTGAAAATAAGAGATGATCTCAAGTTTGCTTTGCAGTGAGGAGGCTTACTTTCTACGTTTTGCTAGTGTAAGTACAGTAAGCCTGTTACCATTCAATTCCGCTGTACAGAGGCGTTAAGAGTAGTTCATCTGCAGTTTTCAGGTCCAAAGTACAAACTAATCTACTATGCTTCCTCTGATGACACTTGGAAGTTGGGACACAGGAGGATGCTAAATGCACCTTAGTCATTTCTAACTTACAAGAAGCAGGTTAAACAAATCATTGACCTCAAATTGAACTCTGTATTGACACATCTCATCAATCACAAGAAAATGCCCATGTAAACTGGGCCTTACCTTATCCTTTTCGTGGGGAAGGAGACACACTGGTGGGAGACAGGAAAGAGACTCAAAACTCTCCTTCACATCAGCATTAGTGGTTGCTTTAGTGTTGAGTTGGTACAGAGGTCCATCTTTAAGAAGTCTACCATGGCCAACAGCACGTTTGACAGCTAATCGTAATTGCTGGTGAAAAACGGAGGCAGCGCTACCTCCAAACAATGCAGACACATCTTTCTGACCTTTCAGGAAGCGCTCGATGTTCTTCAAGGATGAGCCACTAGACTCAGCCAAGCCCTCAATTGCCCGTTTAATAAGTTTATTCCAGTCCACATTTGGTTTACCATCCAACTTGCCATGGTTCCGAGGCTTCGGAAGTGCTATTCTCCCAGGATTATCAGGATCCTTGTAGGAGTTGAGACCCTTGTTAGAGACTTTTAAAATAGTTCCATCTTTAACACTCAACTCTAACTGTTCCAGAACAGTTTTGCGGTCCAAACCGTGCGAAGATGACACTGCATTGCATATCCTCTCCTCTGAAGGACGCTGTTTTTGCTTCTTTACCTTTTTGATTGCCTCCAAAATCCACTCTGTATACAGCGGGTTGGCGAGTTTTACCATGGTGAAGAATTCTGTATATCCATAGAGTCGTTATCCTTTATCCTGATGCTGAACAAGTTTCACACGATGAGAAAACAGATTCTCGAATGATGGGAACCAGCTAACCATAGCATGCAAGTTTTCTGTTCTGAATCACTCCTCCTTTCTCAAACATTATTTGTTTTCACACTGAAGAGAGAGAAGTAAAACAATTAGGAATCTCCTCATTCTTTCTAATAAATTCCATAACAGCTTCAGAGAGTTTTTCCACAAAGGTATAAAGGTTTCAGCATATCTCACCTCAGCTTCTGGTCTGCACACTCACAATCACAAGTGTAGCATTAGCCCTGGAAGAAAACAACAGGAGGGACATTTCCAAAGAACAGTTAGGGAAAAAAAAAAAAAAAGGCAGTCAACATTAATTCATTAAACACATAGGAAAGTTTTAATTCACTACTACAGTTCTGAAACACTGAAGTAATACTTAAGGTTTTATCTTCACTACTAATAAAAGCATACTTTAACACTGAAATAACTCCAGACAACCTAGAGAAAAAAGTGTGCCCTTCTTAATTCAATCTATAAGTCAGTATAAATTCTATGCCAACTTTTGTATAATTGCTGAGCACAACCTAAGTTACTATAGCGGGGGGGAAGAACACAAAAAAAGATCTTAAAAAAGGAGGAGCTCTCTTCATTTTTGTACATGGAAGACACTGCCTGAAACTTCAATAGAAAGCAGGAGGAATAGCCAAGAGCCTTGAGCAAACAGTAAAAAACTTTCAGAGCTCTTCCAGGAGCATAATCATAGGTCTGATTCCCTCCTGCCAAGAAAAGCTATGACAGCTGTTTCATCAATAAAAAAAGTAAAGAAATGCAGCTGGAGATTGTAATTAAATGTTCCACTTTCAGAGACCATAGAAAAGAAGAATACAACATTATAATCTTCAGTATAGATGAGGCACACTGAAAACACTTGAGGACAAAGTAACAGGTGACCATACACAATGAAGAAGGAATGCTTATGACACTGCTAATTAAAGATGCAGATGGAAGGGTATGAGGCTCTACTTCATAGCCTTTAGTTGTCTTTAACAAAGACTTTTTCTAAATGTGATAATGCTATGCTGTGCTGAAGCTCTACTGCAAAAGTACACTGAGAAGGATTTATAAACTGCTTATTACATGGAATAATGATTTTTCTGCAAGAGAAGTTTTAGTCATGAGCTAGTCATCAACATCATTCTCTCAGTCTGCTTTCTAGTAAACAATGAAGAATTTATCAACACACAGAACACATTTGCATACCGACATCAGACTCAATTGCACAGCTCCATACGCCAGTACTAGAAAGATTCAGACCAGAATTCTGTTTAGAACAGAAAGGATGCAGAGCTTGCCTAGAGTTCTTCTACCCCAGGAACATCAGATGTAAAGGGAAATACGGCCCACGAGCCCTGCCAGCCTGGCAAAGGGAAGCTGTGCTCCCGGGGTGCCCCAGCGCGCCAGGATGCCGGGGCCCAGGAGGACGCAAAGCTCTGTCCCCGGCAGAGCTCCGTGCGCAGGACGTTACGTAACCGCCCGGACAGGCCGGGGCGATATCGGGACAGTCCCTACGCCGGCTCGCTCACTCTCTCGCTATCGACGTGACAAGCGGCCCCTGCACCTGCTACCGCTCGTCCCCATCCCCATCCCGGACAGGGCCCGCGCACGGCGCCCCGA